TATTTCTCCGTACCAGGTATAATCCTCTCCTACTCCTTTTGGTTCAGATCTGGTTCAGTTTATGGTTCAAGAATGATCATTGAAAATATGATTTTCTAAATAGGAAATGCGATTCCCAGTTAAAGGGAGAGAAAAATTTTTGAAATTCGCCCCCTATTTCCGCAATCTTCGGGCGTCCATACGATAGATCTCTCATCCCTTTAGATTACTACATAAAATCATCTATCTACATAAAGCCATAGGTTCAAATACCATTCAAGTTATTTTGTTCATGCCATACAATATTAAATCAATTCTAATTAATTTATTAATAATATAATATTTTGATTATTTTTAGTTTAATTTATAAATAATGATATAGAATATCTGAATCACATATGAATGGATGAAACTTGTATCTAAGTTTATCCAGTTAAAAGCCAACCCATTGCTTCATGTTCATTTTAATATATGTTGATATTCTAATCACCGGTAATAAAGAAAGCTCTATTTTGTCTCTTGTATCTTTACTTGGTAAGAAGTTTTCTGTTAAAGATTTAGGCCCACTTCACTATTTCTTGGACCTGCCTTGAATTCACATCCACTGATGGTGTTCATGTCTCTCAATCAAAATATGCTATTCATCTGTTGAAGCCCTTCAATATAACCAGTTGGTTCTCTTCACTATCTATTGGTTGCCAGTTCCCTAAGCAAGGGAAACCCACTCCTCCATCATACCTCTTATCGCAGCCTAGTAGGAGCTCTTCAGTACATCACTATCACCAAATCTGACCCAACACTATAATCCCCAAAAAATGAGCATTTGCTTACTGCCAAGCGCATATTTAGATACTTGAAGGACACCATCAATTTTGGCATTTTCTTTCACTCTTCTTCTACAAGAATTATAACCTCCATTGATGTAAATTGGGCTTCTTATCCTAATGATAGGTATTCTATAGGAGGCTTTTTCTATCTTCATTAGCTAGAACAGAGGGTCCATTTGGTTCACAATCAGGATCAGAATCTCAATAGGAATCACCTATTCCTGATGCCTGTTTAGTTCAGTCAAGAATCAAAATTGGATTCCAATTGTTGTTGTTTGGTTCGTTTGGAGTTGGAATTGGAGTTAACTAAAAATTTTAAATTTTGTATTCATTTATTTATTATTTTATGGGCTCGGCTATGATATGGAAAAGATGTGATATCTGAAAAACAACTAACCAATAAACTCGAATCATACACGTGATAGCCAATAAGGTGTTGTATATCAAAATTCATGGGTGGGTTTTGATTGGTCAGAACTTTTTCCATACCATATCTTTCCTGCATCATAGATTTTCTCTTATTTTATTACTACTTTTTAATATTAATTATTATTTTATTAGTACTTTGTTATTATTTTTATCATTAATTTATGAATATTTTACTAATATATTATTATTTTTTATTACTTAAATAATATTTGTACTATGATAGTTTATTAACAATTTATGAGACCTACAATAAATGAACTTTTTTTAGGTAAACTTTTGGTCAAGAAAAATTAAAGATTTATCCTTCTACTTGGTGGATAAGTTACATACTTATGAAATTGGCCAAACTATTGTACTAAAATGCCTTTGCCAACTTATAAAAGTTGATGTTTTTCGAAAATTATCTCACTTACCAAGCTAACATTTCCGGACAAAAGAATACAAGTAAATGTATTTACCAGGATAACACTTTTCCAGTTAGGCTTAATTTGGAAGGAGTACAAATACAAATATGTAGAGTGCAAAACATTGTATTGTGTATTATTTTGTATGTATTTATATTGTACAAATTTTCATTTGTACTCCTTTCAAACTGAGCCTTGGAAGGAGTAATTTGTAGAGTGCAAAACTTGCATTTGATATTATTTTGTATGTATTTGTACAGTACATATTTGTATTTGTACTCCTTTCAAACTGAGCCCTTAAATACATTTACCCGAGAAAATGAACGGAGACTTAGTATATGTTTGACATTGATGCTGCAGATACAGCACCGTTTTCTCAAAAAACCAGAAAACGTTACTGCTAATGTGTGGGTTGGAAGAACCATTTTCTGAGAAAAGGGTGTTTTTTTTTGTTTGGAAATGTTGCTTTCAAGTAGGACGTTTTCTAGAAAAACATCAACACTTTATGTTTGGTACCAATGCTCCACATCTGTTTTGAGCACCGGTACCCATTATAGGAAGTCCATGTCACTTCCACATCACATCCTTGTTGGTAACAATGAGCTCCAATATGAGAAAACGTCAAATTTGGTGTTGCTCCAAACCACGCCTTCTTGATTTCGAAGGTGTGACTTGGAGCACTGTTTTTTATGAAAAAATGGTTCTAAACAAACAGACATTTCCTGGAGCACCATTCTTTTCTGACATGGCACTGATGTGTTACCGTTTTCTGGAGCAACGGCATCGATGCCAAACAGACGCTTAGAAAATTCAAAATCAACATGCAAGAGGAAGTCCAATTCCAACACAAACAGATCAAACTTCAAAAGAGCTTATAAAAGGCAAGGAAAATTCCCTAAGCATTAATGCCCAAATTCCATGCATTCACCAAACCCACAGTGGTAGTGGTATAATTAAATTTGTCCTATGCCATATGCTGTCATTCTATATTTTGCACAAGTTGTAGAAAATTCATAAAGTAGTAAAGAAAATTCAAATGTCTTTATAACCAAATTTTCCTTTTAAAGCATGAGTCAATGTGGTAGAAGGTTGGCTTGCCTGTATCTCAATGAGGACAGGAGAGAAGGTGAAGGCAAAAGCAATATCTCCAATGGCCTGAAAGGTCCTCCACACCTTCTCTGTGGCAGTGACATCCACCCCAACTTGGACGCCTGTTAAACTAGTCCTCACGTCATGGTTTCTCTCTGCAGTGRTTCCAAAACGCAGGACCCCATTAATAGAGCAAAATGAAACCTCCAAGAACAAGAATAAAACAAATTATTTTTGTGTGAAGCGTTTCATTTGTTTCTGAAAACCTGCAACTTTTGCTGCTGAGAGACCAATTCCAATTAGAGAATAGGAAAACGACATCAGAGCTGCAAGAATTGACAGCCATGAAAGCTTGTGAAAGTTTGGTATCTGGGACAGAACGATCTGGATGCACGCAAATATGATCATGAAAGGATTGTTTGATACATGACACTTGACATGGTGACCGTTCTTGTGGAAACAGTTGGACCTTATAACTGCACTGCTTGAGAAAAAAAAAATGGAAGAAACCATCTGTCATTTCCTTCCAGAGCAACTATATCCAATGGATGGAAAGTGAAAGCACCATCACTTACGCCATACTGATAGAAGCAGTGATGGTGTATCCGATGGAAGCTCCTATAAAGTTTCCATATTGAGCTAATCCACAGAGCTGCACCTTGAGTCCTCCTGAAGAAAAAATGAAAGGAAGAAGAAAGATAAAATCAGAAACCCATTAAGATTTGAGGCTTTCTAGAGAGACCCACTTGGCGTATCAAGGCATAGATTAATTTTAGATGTGGAATTTTGAAGGGTCTCTTTCTAAAGACGACCCCACGTAGGGAAATGGGTTATTCATCATCGAATAGACCCCACAAAGAGCAGATTAGTTTGAATGGGACAAGAGGAAATGCTCTTCCGCCATTTTTTTAGTACTAATTAATTCCTTACCTAGACTGGTTCTCACTGCATCTCTGTAGGTGTAGTTCCGCTTCCCTGAAACAGGATCAGGAGATCTGTAACAGTCGGCAAGTAGAGTAGACGTGAACCATGTGATGAAAGAGAAAACCATGAGAGCAGCAGGTCCAGCTACCCAACCCAGCTGAGCTATAACCCAAGGTAGAGAGAGCACTCCAGACCCAATAACAGCAGTAATTATGTGAGAACTTGCAGTGATCAACGTCCCTTCAAATCAAGATCAAACCCAATAATAAGTAAATGTATAGATATACTCAGGAGAAAAAAAAAAGGATAAATTCTAAAGATCGAAGAATGTGGTTAATTAGCCATTGAAAAAATACCAGTCCGCTTTATACGTCCATCGTCGTCAAAATCCATATCTTGGACACCCATCTCCATGTTCTCTGGGTTTTTTCCCATGTTGAAACCACCTTCCTGCAACTCTTGCTGTCTGGAAGATGAAACAATATTCATAAGCACACTCCTTTATTTTGACTGTTCTTTATGTTTGAACCCGAAGTAAATAGCTTCCAGGAGTATTTATTGTTGCTAGATGGGTGAGCTGCATTCATGCACCATCCATTCTTTTGAGAAAACCTTGTTGTTCTGGTTTATTGCTTCCTAATTAATGTTGTTATGCGTGTAGAAGGATAAGAGAAAATTAATGAGCTCGGACTGAGGATAAAAAAATTCTTTTCTTTGTAAACCAACATACAATACAAAATATACAATACAAGTCAAGTGGATAGCCTCTGGATTCAGTATTATGTGGGACCTATTTGACCGACCCACCTGAACAGAGTCAATATTCAAATTTTCTAGGCTGATGTGGCGGATTATAATTGGCTCAGTATTCTTGGGTTCCGTAAATTATATGGAATTATGGATTCCTCAGGGATAGGAATTACTCAGTTTTTAGTATTTCTCTTAAATTCACCACAATTGTTTAAAATGTCTAGGCGTTATTATATTACCATTTTAACCTTCATAAAAAAATATAAAATATATACATTAATATATTACCATTTTAATATTTAGACATGAAAAAAGGAAAAGATTCAAAAAAGTATTTTCAAATATAAAATACATAAAAATATAAAAATTATAAAAAAATATAAAAATTAAAGAAATTGCAAACAAAATAAAATTTATTTTCAAATTATAGAAACTATAGAAATTGAAAAACAAAATCAAAAAATAAAAATTGTAGAAAAAAAACACCAAAAATTTATAGATTGTAGAAAATAGAAACTTGTAAAAAAACAGAAATTATAAAAAGTTTAAAATGCAAAAAAAAAAGAAAATTGAAAACTGAAAATACCATTTTTCCTCTAACTCACCATTCAAGGGTAATTTGGTCATGAAAATTGTTATTTATGCTGATATGGACACCTTGTTAAGAAGCATTAATGGCCCATTAACAAACATGGTGAATTTTAGATATTTTGAAAAGTTATGATGAGTTTAAGAGAAATGTTGAAAACATTTCCCTTTTTTTTATGACATAACAAATTTCCATCCTTTTGATGGAGGACAGTCTTTGTAAATAGCCACGTGTGCTGCCTTCACCATTTCCCAGCCTATTACCAATTTACCATTAATGTATATTGCATTTCTCTAACCTGTATATATTCCTTTCCAACTGTATATATTAATGGTTTTGCTCCTCTCAACTGAAACGTCAGAGGCATATATTCTATGATTTCTTTCAAACTTTTGTAAACAAATTTGAACCTTGAATTAATTGACCACAAAAGTAGTCTTTTTTAATTTAGTGCATATAATACGGTTTGCAACAATCAATTAATACCATGGTCAAAAGAGGAAACAATCACAGACATGTAGTTAATTGTTTGCCATGTTCAGCTAGAAGGAAGCAACTAGCAGATTAGAGAAAAGCAAATTAAGAGTAACGTAAGACTCTGGAGTTCTCCATACTGTGTGACTAGGGAGTTTCTTTTAACAGCTTATATCCACATCATGATACTCAGTGTAAATCAGCATTAAATCAACAACAACCGACTGAGGGGTAGTCCACTTGATGCGGTTGGATGAATTCTTCCAGTGGTGGTGAGGATTTGAATTCCACTATTATAAAAAAAAAGGGGTAAAATACAAAAACCTCCCCTGAAGTTTTTGACAATCATAAAAACCTCTCTAGTATGATTTTAATAAATACCTCTTCTGAACTTTTGAGAAACTCAATAAAAACTTCATTTCCATCACCTTACCAGATGGGAAATGTTAGACTGATATAGTAGTTTCTTCCAAATACCCATTCTACGTACCCTTTTATAAATTATTTTACATACAAAATTACTGAGTAATCATGTTTTAATTCGACAAAAACGTTAGAAGATGATTGAAAGGAGATTATTGTCAAGTAAAATATTGGTTTAGAATGGGTATTTAGAAGAAATTAGTGCATCAGTCTAATGTTTTTCGTCTAAGAAAGTGATGAAAGGGAGGTTTTTGTCAAATTTCTCAAAAGTTCAGAGGAGGTATTTGTGAAAATTAAACTAAAGAGAGGTTTTTATGATTGTTAGAAACTTTAAGGGAGAGTTTTGTATTTTACCCAAAAAAATAAAATAAAAACTATTATAAATATAATATTGTATTGTTCACTTAAAAGAGTAACACTCCTAAGAGAGTGTCCGCCAGTGATTAATATCAAAAAAACCAAACCAACGAGAAATTTTTGGATGAAAGTAAATTACAGTAATAAATATGAATTTTCATCTTCCCTTAGTTTGAGTTGATTTCTCTCTAATTGATAAAACAAGCAATTAGTTATTAATACTAATTAAACTTAAGTCCGGATGCCCATTGGAATACTGAGAGCTTGAAACCTAAAACAAGCAATTACGTATGAGTACTAAACTTAAGTCCGGATGCTCATTGAAATACTGAGAGCTTAAAGCCTTAAAAAGTAAAAACCCTATTACTCAATGTTTGTCCCAGCTGCTATAAGGTTGTGGGAGGGCCTGTGACCTGAGTGGTAGAATGGATAAGATTCGAATCTTTGGCATTTATTTATTTGTCAGAAAATGACAGCCCTCAGACTCAAATTAATCCGCATTAATCCTACATTTGCCAGCCCAAGATTTTATCTTTACAATTGTCAAAACTGGTTGGATAAATGGCAGCTTTAGCTTAGGTTTGGTTTGTATTAGGTGGCTCCAACATTCAACCGAGGCAGAAACCCTTAATAGAGATTGGGTCCAGACATCTTAAGCTGTTTGGTTTGTATTAGGTGGCTCCAACTTTCAACCGAGACGCAGAAACCCTTAATAAGGAGATTGGGTCCAGACATCTTAAGCTTCCAACATATAAAAGGAAAGGAATGTCTTGGGTACATTTAAGTGGAGTCCAGCATGAACTTGATGGTTGTGTCGTCCTCTAATGAGGGATCATAGGGACCATTTGATAATTGCAGAAGTGACTGAACTGAAAAATTTATTGCTTTTAGTAAATAAGAAATTGAGTAGGGTTGGGCTCTTAAATGGTTGTTGTTGAAATTGAGTAGGTTAGTATACAATTAAACATGGTTTTCAAAAAGGATTCGGAAATGGAATCGTTTTAGTTACTGGTTTTCAGGTCGACTATTCGATCGTCTGATTCAAATGGATAGTTCATTTTAACAAAAAAATATAAAAGATGGCCAAAGCTATTGAACGGGTCGACAGTTCGACCGTCTGATTCAAATGAACAGCTCATTCTGACAAAAAAATAAAAATATATAATTAAAAAATAAAAAATGGCTAAAACCATTGAACAGGTTGACGGTTCGACTGCCCAAGTTAATGGATCATTAATCGATTCAATGGTTTTTAGCTAGGGACCGAGTTTGGGGTAAAACGGAACCGATTGCCTGAATAGTTCTCAGGCAAAACGATCTGACCATCCGGGTCAACGACAATTCAAAAACCATGCCATTAAATATTTTATTATTTAATTATTTTATCCATTAAAAATCAAAGTAAAAAGTTATCTAATTCCACAACTTCAGTTATTAGCTAAACACTGTCTGTTGTATTCTATTGTCTATGGGTTAAGGGTTGGAAGAAATTAGACCCGTTAATGGGTCAGGTTTGAGTTTGAATTTTGGCTATAAATTCAATCCGAAGCCCAAGCCTAATACAATGTAAAGTTAGGCCATTTGGACCTGTTTGGACTGACCTATGAACAGGTCTAGGAGCAACCCATTAATAAATCACCCATAAGAGAAACCACGAGACTAGGCTTCACAAATGATGTAACCAATCAAATTAAACCCATTGAAAATGGCCTCCGACGTATTGTATTGCTATGGCCCCACTATGAGGTTGTGCTGTAATAATACATCCAAAGGCTTTAACTTCGTGGCTTTAGTGCAATGCTCGCAGCAAAAGTCATTTGTCCACCTTTGAAACAATAGACAAGAAATGGCAGATAGACAGAGGATTACTCATTTCTTTTTTTTATTTCAATTAAATCCAACTATCGAAGGAACCGTGTGGGCCAACATGGACTTCTTTAGTAACGACTAGAGTACATCTGGGCTGTGGGGCTATGAATTTTCAGATTTTAACTGTGTTTTTTGTCTTTCCTTTTTTTTTCTCTTTTTTGATGTTTCTTAACATTTCACAGCTCTGAATTTTTATGAAATAATTTTGCTTTTTGCTTTATTGCATTTCTAAAACCCAAGTTTTTTTAACCCTATCTTCTTTCTGTTTTATTTTTTTTCTGAGCATTTGTTCAAGAAAAGAAAAGAGAATTGAAAAAGGTAGAGCTTACACCATTAGAATCTTAAAAAGATCAGAACTGACAGCATGCCAATGGTGGGAGCAAAGTGTTGGAATTTGAAACTACAATGTAACTCTATCATATCACAATGAAAATTTAGAGATCCAGTGTCACTACCTCTGAAGTACAAGGTAGTGCTTTCTATTTTACACTAATAAAATTCAATAGAGAAGATTAGTCATTATTAATATGGATCCCACATCATTTGAACTGAATACTTTTGAGGAGATGAGATTTTTTGAACACACTGAGAGTAAAGAATGTAATCTAGCCATGCATCAGAAATATCTTCCTATGAATTCAACATATAAGAAATGAGATATTTCCAATGTGCAGCTGGATGTCCTGCTTTCAGAGAGTTTCTACAGCTTTTGCTTTTAGGAGATCTAGACTCCTTTTTGAAAGTAGAAGTGACTACTCCTAGCTTTTTGATGAATTTAACATACAAGTACAAGAGATATTTCCAATGTGTAGCTGGTTGTTTTGCTCTTAACTTTTGCCTTAAAGTGATCTATGCTCATTTTTTAGAGTAACCTACTCTTTTTTGTTTTATCGAAGTGGAAATAAGCAATCTCTATTCTTGAGAAGATGATTATGCACATATCTATGGCTTAAATTGGATAAAGAGCAAAATTATGTGAATGCGGAGTTCTATCATTAGGGGTGTCAATGGACCGGTTTTGGGTTGG